CAAAAAAGAGTAACATCAGCATTGGACCATGAAATGTGACAACAGGAGCACTAAAAAAATCTCAAACAGTATCTGAAGTTAGCCTGCTAATAAAACTAGAAACAGAGGATTTTGATATTTTCATATAATTCGCTTTGGAAAATCTGATTGTAACAAAAGTTCTAATATTTTTTTTACCTACTTTATTTAATTTTTCTCATGTTGTTGATATATAGACATTCTCCTAACTGATTGAAAATACCAGAACAAAGTCCTCCCTCCTTCCTGCCCTTACTTGGTATAACAATATAATATAAAATGGTAATTGCCCACGGTATCCAATGTCATAAACCATGGCAGTGCATCCTGATCCCTCTGAAAAGAGGTTCAAGGTCCATCTACATGCTAATTGGCTTATAAATGTGATCAACATTTACCAGAGAAAGATATTTAAAAAAGCACAGCAGATATTTTTGCATTCATTTGAAATTTTCCAAATATTTGGAGATTCGAGGGGAATTTAACAGATCAGGTGGCCAACAAATGCACCATAATTGTCCTAACTAGCTTCCAAATCAGACCAAATTTCTGCAATTTAACCTAAAGGAACAAGAAATATTGAATGCAGGAATCGATCGATCCATGGCAAAGAACTCCTGCCAGCAACAACAGAAATCCTGTTCTGCTTTAACTAAATAGCTACTTCGCTTGGGGAACCAAACCTAAATCAACGTGAATCCCTAGATAAAGTCCATCCAAAGACACATTTCGTAGGCGAATGTCAGTCATCTAAAACAATGCGTTACTCTCACAAGTCAACACCATTGTCATCCGACAGACAGAAACCCCTAATCAAAAGGTAAATCACCAGATTTCCGGCTAAATCACTCAAAATTGGAAGGAAAAGCTAACAGATTGTGCCAATCTAGCCTTAAAAGACCACTAATTTGCTAAAATCCCACTAAATCCCAGATCAAAAAGTAGTCAAACAGTCTCAGGTGTCTAGCAATACCCACATAAAAAAACTGTAGCATAAGAAAATAGCCCTCCCCGAGATGAAGGGGAAAACAAAAAAGAGGAATCGTTAGATGTAGCGTTGCTTACTCTTCCAGTTCCACTCTCATCCGCATTTATCAGCACAAATTCATTCCTGTTGTGAGAGCCAGCAATAAGTCGACCTCTAGTGTCCATAATTCCCCACAATGACACAGAGCCAGCACCTCAAATCAAGAAACCCAACACAAAACCTGGACTCTCACCGAGTCCTCCTAACACCAACGCACTCCAAAGATTCACTTTCGTGCCCTCACCGGCTGCTCACCCTCCTCAGAAGGAACCCAAACCCCACGTACGGTAAAAAATGCACAAAAAACCCAGATTGATGAAAATGAGTGACCTTTGATGTATATAAAGAGGACCCAAAAGGAAACAAAAGTTGGGTTCTGGTTTTGATTCAGCAACAAGCCTAGTCTCCCTTAAACCTGGCTGGGCTGAATCTAAAATGGCAATGGGGAAGAGATCAAGATTAGATTTTTAGAGAAAGAAAACGGGAACCCAACACAACTTAAGGAGTCAAGAGAGAGAAGGGAAGCGTAACCGAGAAGGAGAGATGAGATGAGATGTCAGAAGAGGTCAAGCAATGCAATGCATATGTGTCTGTGACCTAATTAATCAACGCAAAAAGAAACAAAATAAAATTAGGAGAAAATTAATAAAAACAATAAAAATAAAAAAGACAGGAAAAAAGGGCATGGAGGGGCCCAGACAGTGATGGTGGTGGCGGTCGGCGGTGTCACCCACCGCAGTGGGTAGACAAAATATTGCTGTACCAGTGCTATTAATTTCCAGTCCAAACACAAAAAAAAAAGGGAAATTTTACGGAGAACGGGAGAAGGGACGACTAAGGACAGCTGCGTTAGGGTTTGTTAGGGTTTTGGGATCTTATATTCACAGTTTTAGGGTGCAGTTAAGATTTGAGATAAGGCCAAAGAGTAAGAACAGAAAACAGCTACATATAATACTGCAGCAAAGGCATGAGCATATCCTTTTTTCTTTTTTTCTTTGTTTTTAATAGTGTTTTTATTATATAGGATTCCCTCGGTGCATTTTTAATATTTTTATTTTGATTTTTTGATTTTTTGAATATATATTTTAAATAAAAATTTTATAATTTATATACTCTAAATAACAACTGAAATTTTTTTATATAATTTTTGTTGAATATTTTTATTTGATAAAAAAATTTAATTACTATTTATATAATATATTAATTTTTATCTAAATTTTATATTTAAAAAATTAAAAAATTAAATTATAATGATTAAAAATAAACTAAGAGAGCACAATAATAGTTTTTTTTATCTAATTCCAGGAAAAAATACAAATTAATTATTCTGATTTTTTTATAGTAATTTTGAGTTATATAAAGAGAGTTAATATTTTTTAATTTCTTCTACTCTTTTATAGAATGTGGGTAAGGTAATGGGATGTAATTATTCTGATTTTTTTATAATAATTTTGAGTTATATAAAGAGAGGTAATATTTTTTAATTTCTTCTACACTTTTATAGAATGTGGGTAAGGTAATGGGATGTGATTATGGCCAGCCAAATGTTAAGCTAATAACTTCTATGGATATTATTTAATTTGATTATTAAAAATAATTAATAATTAATTTATATTTACTACTTTATAGATTTAAATCAACTTTATAAGTTAATACTTTTAAATATAACAATTAACAGTTTAAGAAAAAACTATAAAATGAAGTCAAATTAAACATCATATGTAACCATAAGTACACCCTTGGTTTTGACTACACAAATAAACATATAGACTTAATGTATAGTTTAACTGATATAAAAAGTTGATAGCTATAAATATCAACAGATAGTTTATAAAAATATATATTATTTAATAATTTAAAATTAACCTATTTATTGATATTTGTAAATATTCTAATATATAATAATTAATTATATATTAATAAAATTAATTAAATCCAATTAATTTACAATATTTTTATGTGATTATAATTACTGCTATAAAATATCTCATTTATCTTGTATCTATTATTCAAAAATTATTTAAAAAATTATTATTAATTTATTTAAATTGTAGATAATATTTGCTTGAGAAATAGATTCACCATTTTTTTACCAAAAGCAAACCAATAAGTTGAGCCTTTAAACCGTTGGGCGGTATTTGACTTTGACTGTGTGGTGGCGGTGGTGTTTAAGATTTCGAGTCTCTAGGTTTACGTTTAGCCCTTTTTTAATTCAATAATTTCATAAAAATTTTATTTTTCATTGTTTAACTTTAATAAAATTATTTTTCAATAAAATAAAAATATAATAATTTACTAATAAAATTTTATATTTATTTTTAATTAACAATTACTTAAATAAAATTATTTATATTTAATATATATTATAATTATTTTTAAAATTAATATAAAATAAAAATAATATTTTAAAAAGTAAATAACTATTTAAATATTTTAAATTAAAATTAAAATTTATTAAAATAAAAAATAATTAAGAATAAAAATGTTTTAATGAGCAATAAGTTCTCACCAGTTTCTGACAAAAAATTTGAACACTAACTAATAATATACTATACTTATTTTTAAAGAAAAATTCTATATTTCCATCCAACATATTATTAGCGGAAAAAAACAGCTCCTTATTTATTTTATTTTCTTTTTACACTGAAAATTTGAGGAAATGGATAATTACTTAAATTAAAATCGAAGATTTAGATGTCCAGATCTCTCACGAAAATGACCAGTAAACCAATTGTTGTGCCGGACAAAAACAGCTCCTTATTATCTGGCAATGACCAATTACCAATGACCACAGGCCACAGTATACCAAAATAGCTCAAAACCCAACATATTTTGCGCCTGGAGATGATATAAAACAAAGAATTTATGAAGTTTCAAAGGAAAAACTTTTCACAAAATTATATGAAAATAGTATCCAAGTCAAATTTTAAAGTTTACCAGAGCTATAATTCCAACGATGTTATTTTATTGTTAAGCTAATTAGTTAGATTTTGTTTTTTTGTTGGATTGGGAAAAATAAAATTAAAAAAAAAATACCCACCTAAGTAAATTTGCTCGGTTTTGTCTATTAGTAATACGTTGTCCAAAATAACATTATTTAAATTAAAAGACTCTTAAATTTTAAAGAGTTCAAAACTATT